GTCTTTCCTCTATAGTCAGTATCTATAGCCTTTAGTCTTGGATCATATAATCCTAAATAAAGTCCAAATTGAAACCATTTAGTACAATTCAATTGATTGAGTATTGTTAGCTCTTCAATGACGATATCAAGATCTTTAATATCTATAAATATAATAATTAATAATGTGTATATACACTGTACAGTCTACACTCCCACTACTTGACAATTTGTAATAGTACATATTCCGGACATACCTAGCTTTATTGGGGTCAATGGTGTCTTGATTTCTTCAGTTATTTCAATCACTTCCTATACAATAATAATAATAATAATAATAATAACTGATATTTGTCACTGTGCTTGTTTGTCAAGGTGATATACATCAGTAGTGCATTGCTGAAAGGTGAGTTTAACAGATGTGCAATTTATATTATTAGTAGTAAAAGCCACACAATGACAACCCACAATTATGACAAAGACTGAGTAATTGATAAGAAGCAAAATTACTTTTATAATAGGACCTTTTGATTATTAGTGCTTGTATTAATGTATCAAACAGTTTGTGTGTGTTAATACTTACTTTAATAACATGTCCTCCTAATAGTGACAGGTTACTAATTTCTGATAATGATTCATCAGGTAGGATCTCCTTTAATTCTGTTTGTCCTTTATTATTGACAAAAAATGGTCTTCCTTCCTTTATTGTTGCTATCACATCTTTTACACTATACACTGTCCTTTCTCTTGGTGTATTCACAGGATAGGCTAGTTCTTTAGGATCAATAACTAACTCTTTTACCTCTAGACTTGGACAAGATTCTTTATAAACACTCATTACCTCTCCTATCACATCTCTTCTTAGAGACACCATATTGTCACTGTAACCTTTCTCACAGGACATCATTACTAGTACACACTGGCTCTCATCCACAATCTCTACCAGTGATCCTACACCATGACCATTAAACCAGTGCAGACCATTCTTCCAAAATGTACAGTAACGATTTAACTTGTCATCTTCTTGAGGTAAAGCCATTTTGTAAGCAAGATGTAATGAGAGGACGTGGAAGTATCGAGGAGGAAAGAAATGATGTTTACTAGTACACTGTAGACACCAACCAAACTGGTACACTTGACTAGTCATCTCATCAGGTCTATCAGTAGACAAAAGACATGGAAAGAACAACAACCTTTCTCCTCTTCTTTCTATCCCTCCCTCCTCTTCCGCTGCTAACTGATGGAGGTTTGTCATTCTTAGGAAAGATGGATCATTCATTTGTTGACAGAGTTCCATGTTCTTTAGGAAACAGATCAACATGTCAGAATCATATTTAGGGAAGTGTCTAGTCAGACCAGACACACTAACAATACCAGTATTGCTAGCAATGTCAACGTGCTCTTTGAATGTCTCTGGAGCAAAGAGAATCCCATCCACCTCAGTTAGTAGTATACCCTTATTCACAACAACCCATACCTTTTCTTCACTTTTAAGAACACTGATCAAACCAGTTGAGTGCAACGAATTAAGAACATCCAAGATGTCTTCTCTCTTATCTGGTATAAAGTAATCATCATTGTCTTTACCAGCAGACATTACATCAGAGAGGGTGAGTATATTCTCTTTCCTTTCCTCCAGTAGACCATACATCATGTGACAATAAAGACTCAAATTCCTTCCACTTGTACTACGAATGGACTCACAGGCACTAGACAACTTATTAAAGAAGGCATGCACACCATTCCCACCAAGCTTACGACAATCTAGAAAGACACTATCACACCTTTCCCTTACAATAATCTCCTGTATTTCTTCCTTTCTCCTTCTCCTTTCAAAAGGATTAAATATCTCATCCACATGACTGACTATTACAATAACATGGCATTGATTAAGAGCTTTCTTTGCTTCATTTGTGACAACTGTTAGCCACTGATGAAGCTGTTTGACTGTTTTCTTTTCCAATATATTGACTACTATCAGGAACACACCACCAGAACCTTGTAACAGATTCTGAATGACAGCACTGTGACTGGAGTAGTATTCAGAATGACCAGCAAAATCATGAAGAATGATGTTACCCAGTGTCCTGTGTTTCAGTTTATAAGGAATGATGCCAGCAGTACAGGGCACTACCCCTCCAACATTTCTAAAGGAACCAAGAACAATAGAACCAGTAGCTGTGTCATTGATGACATGACTAAGAGTACTTTTACCAGCTCCAGGATTACCCACAAGGAGGACGTTAACATAAGAATCAACTGGATGAGATGATTTTATATCACCAAACTTCTTAAAGACAGAAAGAGTATCAATGTGAAGATTCTCCTGAGCTAGTTTAAATGGTGTTTTTCCCTGATTGTCTTTAGCCAATGGATCACATTTACCAGTTGATAGTAAATATTCAACAGCTACCGAAGAACCATAATCCCAACTTGCAGCGGCAACATGAAGAGGTGTCCGCCCCCTAATGTCAACAGCCATTGGATCATAGTGGCCCTCATCAATAAGATACTTTACAATATCAATGTGTCCAGCAGCATGGTGAATAATAGTCTCACCCCTATAGTCAGTAGCCATTGGATCACAGTGACACTCATTTATGAGATACTTTACAATATCAATGTGTCCAGCAGCATGGTGAAGAACAGTCTCACCCCTATAGTCAGTAGCCATTGGATCACAGTGACACTCATTTATGAGATACTTTACAATATCAATGTGTCCAGCAGCATAGTGAAGAACAGTCTCACCACTATTGTCAGTAGCCATTGGATCACAGTGACACTCATTAATGAGATACTTTACAATATCAATTTGTCCAGCAGCATGATGAAGAACAGTCTGATCTCTTTTGGTAGTAGCCATTGGATCACAGTGACACTCATTAATGAGATACTTTACACTATCAATGCGTCCAGCAGCATGATGAAGAACAGTCTCACCCCAATTGTTGGTAGCATTTGGGTCACAGTGATGATGATTGATTAAGTACTTCAGTGATCCATTACTAGATACTCTGTGAAGAACAGTATCTCGATACTTATCAGGAACCTTTGGATCACAGTGACACTCATCAATAAGATATCTCATCACATCAACATGATTACCTTCTGCAGCATTATAAAGACAAGTCCAACCTGTCTCATCTCTTTTGTGTGGGTCACAGTGATATTTGGTGATGAGATCTTTTGTGACATCTAACCAGCCATGCCTTGAAGACAAATGAAGTAGACTAGCATTATCCCATCCTCTTTTAATTTTATTCAGTCCTACCACTGATGGTAGTAAGCAAACAGCTTGCTCATGATTTCTTTTCTCAAACGCAGCCCTACACTTGTCTTCTAACGACATCTTGTGATTAGTTAATTAGATTCATTGATACCCGCCCACACATCAGGAATTCAATACACTAAACACACATACCATAACTGAGAGAGAGGGAGGGATTGCTTTTGTCAAGAATTGGCTGTAAACTAATTTCTCAATTTATATATCAATGACCTTTTGATTGTTTTTGAACTGAATCTGAGCACACATGTAATAACAGTATTTACTATACAGCTGAAATATGGCAAGGAATTAATATTGGCAGATCAGCAGTTGTAGTTAGCATTCACTAATATAAAATCCACTCTATTTTGCTTTATTCTTCACATGCTCAATGACTCATGGCTGCTAATTCCTAATCACCATTATATAAATCCACCTATAGGGCCTGTACTTAACTGCTCTCATATTCATATCACAATAATAATAACAAAATCTCCTCAAAATCTCATACTCGACTCCACCTTACTATTGCTTTATATGAGGACTACATGTGTACTACTGTATAGTTTGAAAATCTTGGAGTGTCAAAAAATTTGGTAATTGGACTCTAAAAGAGGTTTAGGTTTAAAATTAATTTTTAGCGAAATTTTAACCATGTGCATGCTGCTGCAGAGACCTATCAAATTGGAGATTAAAATTTTGATGAATTGACTTAAATTCACCAAAATTTTAGTCTATCAAATTTTATAGTTATACAGTAATAATAATAATAATTTTTATTTTTATTCTGCCTCAACTCTCAGTCTCTTTTTTAATTGAAACTAAGTTATAATAATGATAATAATATAACTAGGCGAATGTAAAACATTGAGGGGCGAGCAAAACGATTAACATTTCGATTAGCAATATACAATGTTAATATAGACAATGATGTAGTGGCTATTAAATGTTGAATGTCGATGTCAATACACTAATGCAGAATTTGCAAGCATGGAAGGAATTTCATAGTTTCTAGCTTTGAGTGAAGAATCTCTGCAGTTATATAGATCTAGGATGGAAGATGGTTGGTCTCAGAAGCCAGAAGGAGACTCCATTTGTTGTCTTTGGGTGTGACAAGACCATCTCTAGCATTTCTCCGTATTGGACCTCCTCGCTCTTTTCTCCTCCTCACGCTCATTACGAAGAAGTCGACGAGCTTCACGAGTATCTTCTTGTGAATTACTCATGCTTTAAGCTTCAGCTTCCCTTGTTTTTTTTAATACTCTTGAACTCCTCTCGTCCAGTGATTACTGAAGTTGCTCTTTGTTTTTGCACGTGGTACCGTAATTATCAAAATTATCATTTTAAAATGTGTGATTATTATTTTTTATAGACGCATAAATAGGGGTGATGTACGTGTACAAACAAACAAACAAACAGACATACTCGACTCGACTATGTGGGGCTCGCTTTTGCTCACCCCAATAACAGTAAAACAGAGTACTCTCATTCAAGACCTACATGTACATGTAGTCATACTAATGTATCTCTTTTATTCTCCTGATCTACTATGTAGCAGGAAAAATTGATGAAATTAATATTAAAATAATTAATATAAAATCTGCCATTTTCCTTTATTCTTCACATGCTCAATGGCATCACATGGCTGCAAATTTGCCAATATAAAATCCACCAATACATTGCAATCATAGAATCACTAATATTAAGATCCACCAAATGGTATATCCACTAGTGTAGAGTGTCATAATTCATAGTTCATAGTAACTCTATACCAATAACAACATTAATGATAAACATAGTTTGAAACTAACAATAACTATTCAAATAACAATGTTACTAATAATAAACATAGTTTGATACTATCAGTGATAATTCTAATTATAGAGATAGGGAAATTAGTACATGATGACAGCTCAGCTTTTACAACTCAACTAATTAACAAATGAATCAGCAAGTATCAGCAAAAATAATAATAAACAGAACAAAATGAAATACTATACACAATCATCCACTAACTAATTATTGACAATATTTATTTCTAATGTAACTAGCAAAAGATTTCTCTTCTATTGTATCCAGTGCTGTAGCTAATGATGACCAACTGGGACCTCCTTTCTCTCTCACTTTATCTTCTCCTCTTAACCAGGCAGACATACACTCACGGAAACACTCCACTGGATCTCCTCTATTCTTCTTGTCTATATCCACTAGTCTAGGATCATATAATCCTAACTGTAGACCTAGTCTGTGCCATACAGAACAGGGCAACTGTTGATCTGATGTTAATTCTTTTATGGCAATATCAAGATCTTTAATATCTATAAAAATAATAATTAATAATGTGTATATACACTGTACAGTCTACACTCCCACTACTTGACAATTGTGATAGTACATATTATTACATACCTAGCTTTATTGGAGTCAATGATGTCTTGAATTCTTCAGTTATTTCAATCACTTCCTATACAATATAATAATAATAACTGATATTTTTCATTGTGCTTGATTATCAAGGTGATGTACATCAGTAGTGTATTGTGAAAGGTGAGTTTAACAGATGTACAGGTACAGTGGAACCTGTGCTAAAGGTCACCTGAGTAGTGAGGCCACCTCTCTATTACAGCCATAAGCCAAAATCCCAATCAAGACCTGTACTAAATGGCTGTATTACAGAGGCTGACCTGTAATGCAGCCACCTGCATAATCAGGCCATTTAAAACTGGCCCAAGGGTGACCAATTATTGCGATTAAGCAGGTTTATATATATTATATTATATTATATTATTGTATATTGTATATTATGTATATTATACTATATATTATTAGTAGTAAAAGCCACACAATGACAACCCATAATTATGACAAAGACAATAGTTTTGATAAGAAAATAAATACCTTTTAAAGATATGACCTTTTGATTATTAGTGCTTGTATTAATGTATCAAACAGTTTGTGTGTTAATTCTTACCTTAATATCACGTCCGCCTAATAGTGACAGGTTACTAATATCTGATAATGACTCATCAG